AGAAAGAAAGAAAGAAAGAAAGAAAGAAAGAAAGAAAGAAAGAAAGAAAGAAAGAAAGAAAGAAAGAAAGAAAGAAAGAAAGAAAGAAAGAAAGAAAGAAAGAAAGAAAGAAAGAAAGAAAGAAAGAAAGAAAGAAAGAAAGAAAGAAAGAAAGAAAGAAAAGAAAGAAAAGAAAGAAAGAAAGAGCAGGAACTAACCAGGCAGCATCAGGGCTAGAGTTGATGTCTCGGTTTGATTTTGTAGGTTCTAGTTAGTTGTATGACCTGCTTTCAAAAGGAAATGGTGGTACTGAAGCCAATACTAAAATTTGCCTATGACACTGATCTTTTCATAAAGATTGTTGCCCAGGTTTGGTGTACAGTAAAACACAACAATTTGAACACTAGAATATTATTTTTGAGATTATTGTTTATTCCTCTAGAGTATAATAAAAAAAGTGCAAATATGCATTTTATGTTTCTAAAATCAGGAAATTCCAGGGCCCTTATTTTATCTCCAACTCTTAAGTTTCAATTCTACTTAATTTGTAATGAAGAGATCATGAGTAATGGTTTTGTCTTCCATTTATACAGGTAATTCTAGCTTTATTTTTTTTCTTAGTTATAAAAGGTAATGGAATATTAATGTGGATAAAGCCAAAATACTTAGAAAATACAAACTCATGAAAACCACTTTAGGAATATGGATTTTGGTGGTGTTATCAGTTTTGTGAAGTTGAATAAAAGGTATGGTGATTGTTTATATCTAAATTACCACAAGGAAAGAGCAAAGGAGCAGAATCTGATGTTGGTCCATTCAGATGAGGATTGATGACGAAACTGTTGCTGCCACTTCCAGTTATGGTTCCATACCAACCCAATCCTTGTGAATTAGATAAACTGAAACAACAATAACAAAATTCAAACTATGCCTAGGACATAATTAAAGTAGTCGTTATTTTAAAAAAAAGGATTTTCAATTAACTTTAATATTTAGTTTCAGTGATCCAGAATTTTGTGTTCCCACTTAAAACTTTTCCCACCAGCTCCAACAATGAAGGTTATTAGGAATTTAATGGATTTTTGGACTGAAATTATTCTGTAGCATATTATTCATTTTGCCTTTGTTATCTTATTTACACTAATCTAGTTTTAAAAAGAAAATACCTCCAGAAGAAATGTAAAATAAACTTCATTTGCTAATAATGATTACTAAAGTCCAAAACAAATTCAAAGAAGTACTTAATCACCTATTGCATGCAGAGATAAAAGCAAGTTTAGATAAGGGCCCTAATGGAGAAGTTTCCCCTGTCTGAACAAGTAATTCTAGTTTACATAAGGATTTCCAGAGGATCCTACAATCCCTCCAGAAGTAGGTTTGGGACCTTTTCCTGAGATCATAGGAGGTCTATTTCTTGATTCTTCAATGGATTTTCAGTGACACTGAAGATGTGGATACATATATGTTTATAATGAGTGAGGCAGTATACCTTGAATGACTAAGGACCTAGAGGATATTTTCCCAGATCTCCCGTCCAGATTTGAAGAATCAGGGGTAAAGGCAGGAAGGTATGAGGAAGGATAGCTTTCAATGGCACTTATGTCCATTGCTTTAAGCTCTTCAGTAAATCATAGCTTCCACTTTATATACTGTCTCTTGGATTTTGACATATGACTACTACACTATCATATAAGGTTTAAGGGTCAGAAATTCTTTCTTCAAAATTAAGAGCTGTTGAGAATTGATTCAATAGAACATTAAGCCTGTCTAATTGACTTTGGTCACATCTACCTTCCTTTTCTTGAGTCTCCAAGTCTTGACAAGTCATCATCACTATCATACCGTCTTGGATTGTCGAAAAAGTAAGCTCTGGAAGTGTAACTGTGACTATTTACAATACCATCAGGAGCCTGTGAACAAAAGAACATATAAAAAAGCCAAGCATGCCAAAATTGTCTTCAAGTTATGACAAAGGAGGCTGACACTTGAGACCATATTGAAGCTTTTTAAACTCACACATGGAAAAACATTATGATTTTTAAAAGAAGTGTAGGTATTTTAAGAAGTTTCATAATATCCTACCAAATTCTGGTTTGGCTTCTGTGCTCTGAAAAACAGCACCATTGACCAGGCTGGTATATGTTCCCACAAAAAGAGGATCATGCCAAACACTACATATTCTTCTTCACTGATGTCTTCCACATGATTCTGCAAGTACATAGTATGTTAAAATACTTTTGTTCCATTTACAAAATGTCCATTATGACCAATTTGCCTCAGATTGGGCATAAGCACCAAATGAAAAAAAATTAATGCACTAAGAAAGCAATTAGAAGTACATAAACAAATGAAATCACTTTTAATGGTCATCCACGTAATACCTGCAATGTACATAAATGTAAAATGTTTTTATTTTGCTAGCCTCTAGTTAAGAACAATCAATTTGCAACTATGTTGATTTCAGTAAAAAATTTTTTTAAAACAAAGAAAATGTCTTCAGAGAAACCTCACCTTTTAGCCCTGGTGTATAATTACTTTGGACTGAAAAGCAGAGTTGTTATAAGTATTCCAGATGGTACACAGAAAAAAAAATTGGATACCTGTATTTGCATGAGCAAGAACAAGTATTAACATTAAAAATAGTTGCACAGCTGATAATAGCATACTATTTTGGCCAACTACTACATACTGTTGCTCATTTTTCATTCTATCAGTGGTATATAATGGAGAATGGAAACACAAGGTACCACAGCTCTGATAATTTCTATTCCTTAAAATAATGATTCGTAACTGTGTTTAAAGAATACACAAGTATCTCCAACTTTCTAAACGTTATCTCTAAAAGACTAATCTACATGTGAGATAAGGTTGTATCATATAGTATCACTCAAAAGAATTATAACAATATTTGCATGATGATTACTAGTTACCAAGGTACAGGCTTATTGCAGTATTGCAACAGATGTTTCACATTTTGTTTTTATAATCCTAGCACCCTGAATAGTATGTTGCATATAGTAAACACTTAAACTCTCATTTGAATTGGAGAATGTTAGAATTGGGATCACTGTACTAAGTACTCATGGTCAAGGAAATGTTTCTTTCCATTACTGAGGTTGAAAACTATAGGATTTGAGCAATATTGTCCCCTTAAAATTGTAGTTTTCAACCAAGCAGTCAAGTTATATAGTAGTTCTGAATGGATATTCAGCAAAAGATTCAATTTTACTTTAAGACATGAGATAAAAAAAGGATTAAAGACTTTATTAAAATAAAAGGTAGCTTTATTGCTAATATCCAGATGCTAGTAATATTTACTCAAAAGAAATATGGCTAGAAACCTTTCTAAAAATGATTTAATAAGTAAACGTATGTGACAGGAAATTTAGCAATAAATTAAGCAGAATTAATAATGACCTCTAACATCTAGCACTTATACACAAATTAAAGTTTATTTTATTTCTATAGGCTTAAATAAGCGATGCACATTATGGAATTACCTTTTCTGAAAGATTATCCCATCCATAGTCAAATGGACTTTCTATAGTATCATGAGATAGAGTAATCACCACCAAATTATAACAAGCTCTTGAGGAATAGAGAAGAATGAATACTGAGCCTACTGTGACAGTCTGACACATAGATGTTCCCTAAAAGAGATAAAAACCATGATGTCAAAGTTATAAATGAACTTAAATGATTAATTATTATTCAGATACAGTATATAGTTAAGTATTGTGCCAGGTACATAGTAAGCAAATGATTAACTGTTGAAATTTGCTAAATTGAACTGAATAATTAATTTATGAAAATATATGGATAGATTTTGTTTTGACACAGCTGATATTTCTCAAATAATCCCACATAACAGTATCAATTATTAACAGAAAGAATAGCTATGTCCTTTACTTTGATAATGTGGTACTAGTTGGTTAGATTTCAGTTTCATTATCTCTCAATGTTAACTTTGTATTATGTTATATTATTATATTTGACACTGTCATTTACTCTAAGCACTTTTTTTTTCTTGGTGAGGAAAATTTGAATACTGTTCACCTAAAAATTTACTTCCTTGTAGATGGATAGAGATGGATTTGTAGAAAAAACTGGAACTCTGTTTTAAAAGATTCTTTCCATCAGTAGAAGGGGTGAGGTCCTTTCTCAACATAAAATGAATCAAAGGACAAGATGGGGAATAGTTGGGCATTTACAGATTAATTGCATTATTTTGTTTGAAGTGTTGTGAAATTCCTTTTAGATGTACATATTGAAATTATAAAATAGATCTTTCAGAACAAAAATAATTCTTATATTACCCTAAGTTTGGTTCACCCATGCTATTTACTCTTCTCATTAAGTTTAAAAATAGTTCAAAACATCAATTAGAAATTCACCTGGCAGTGTAAAGATTTCCTCTATTTTCTAAGGGCAGAAAGACCTATTTTTGAAAGTTATTGGAAGCATTTTAGAAAGGGGTTATTTATGGAGCTGAAGGAAAACATTTAGGAAGTTATAAAATGGTCCTCTTGGAAAAGCAAATAAAAGGATTGGTCTTTAGATTCACATCATTTCATGTGAATGAAATTCTCCTATTATAATATTAATGATAAATTAATAACAATTGCCATCAACAAAGGCCATCATGAAAATAATTGAAGCTTATGTGATAACATCTGTTGCAGAGGATGTGGAGGTAGAAAAAGTCTACAGAGATCTCAATATTGAACTACAAATGAAAAACATATGCTTTAATACTTCAATGCAAAGGCAGGCATAAGGACAGAGAATGATATGCATCAAGCAACTATAGGCTAAAGGCTTATAGTGTAAATGGAAGCCTCATGTCTATGTAATGCATAGTTTCTTCAGGAAAAGAGTCAGGAAACAGTGGATATTGGCAAGTACTTAGGAAAATATCAGAAGAATAAAATGATAAAACAGATGATATAGCTAGTGTTTCTATAGCTTTAAGGTTTGCAAAGTACTTTGCATATGTTATCTCATTAGATCCTCACAACAACCCTGTGAGGTAGGTGCTGTTACTCCTATGTTCAATAATCATTTAAGAGTTAGGCCTAAATTTACAGAAAATAAAATAAGTTGAAGAATGATTCATCTAGTTAGATGGGTAGCCCTTGAAGCTTGGCTAGTTATTGCACTGAATATGAAGTGAGTCCAGAATTGTATTGAAGATTTGGCTGGATTGCAGTTGGGAAATTATATAGTGCTTTAATAGACCTCAAGCTTCTCTTTAAAACAAATGGTTATTTTTTTTTAAACACCAACATTTTTCTAGTCATGCAATGATTCTGAAGTATGGAATACTAGTATTCAGAAAATTAAAATTTTTGTTCAGCATAGGGCAATGGAGAGTTTGCATGGTAGGAATGAATAGGGTTTACCAATGAGTAGGTATTACCAATAAAGAATTACACAGAAGATGCATCCTCAAGAAAAAATGTACAATTGGCAAAGAAGGTAAAGCCAGTTCTGGTAAAAGTGAAGGATGAGCCTACGTGTTCCTTAACTTTAACACATATACAATGTCAAGAAAGCTAGAAAAATGTCCCTTTATGGAAACATTTGGCAAAAACAGCATAGGATGTAAAGGCATAGATAAGTTATCTTCTATACCACTGTAGTGGTTCCTTGAACATTAACATAAGATCCACTCATTGATTACCATGATATTAAATATCTACTTCTAAATTTTTCTTCTCAGTATTAGTTTCAGTTATACATCCTCAATATTTAAAATTCAACCTTTTCAGTTTATACTGTAGTCATAAATATAAACTTGTATTTGTTACCATATTAGTAATAGTATACCCTGTACCACTAAGATTACCAGACACAATACTTGTGGTATTATTCTAAAATTCAAATAGCTGCTAAAATTAATTCAATATATTCAAATAGTATGAGTTAGGTTTTTAGAACAAAAGCTAAAATTAAGTTTTTGGTTAAACTAATGGGTTTGACTTGGTTACTGTATGCCATAAGCAATCTCCATTGAAATATCTTTAATAATGTAAGACTAAAACCTCTACTAAAATTTATAGAACAGGAATTTCTAGAAACTAGGCAGCTAAGTAGCACTGCACTTAGAGTCCCACAGAACTAAGTTCAAATGCAGCCAAAATATATACTAGTTCATGACCCTCAGATATCCACTTAACCTCCCTTGGCCTCAATTTCTTCATCTGTAAAATGGGGATAATAATAGCACGTATCTTTCACAATTGTGTGAGGATAAAATGGGATACTATTCTAAAGCACTTTGGAAACCTGAAAGTACTACATAAATGTTAGCTATGAATCCTTGATTATAGTAGTTTACTACATTCAGACTATTTCGAGATTAAACAAAAAAGAAAATATTATTTCCACCTAAAAAACTATCTTGCCTTCAATGACTGGGCAATGATGCCAACCAAGGTAATGCACTGTTCCTTGCCTAAAACAAGTGTTAATATTTTAGAGGCTTTTCATTCATAAGGAGTTCCAAGGTCATTAGCAAATGATTGTCCTTTGGATATAGTACAATTTATATGTACATATACATGGTACATGTACATACACACATATGTATATATACATACATAATGTATTTATACACACACAAAGATGACTTAGTTATGGCTCAACTATATCTTCCAGCCCCCCAAAAATAGAACAGGAACTTTCATAGGACTTTAATTATTACTGAACCATGTAGATTGTAACTAAATAAACAAAAGGGGAAAATAAGTAGATTGATGTCTTCCTTCCTCAGTTTCCCTCAGGAAAAAAAGAGGGAATAAAATGGTGAAGAGAGAATTTAGATACACTTGTGGATATGGCTAAGTTTGGAACAACTTTTAAGTATCACGTATAAAGTTCAGAGAATAAGGTGACGTGATATTTTATAAGCCTATGCACTAATCAACTATTTTATGAAAAACTTGACATTTAAATATTTGACTTCAATATTAGAGCTAGAAAGAATGTTAGATCCTATAGTACAACTTCTTCATTTTACAAAATAAGAAGCTGATATATAGAAATATATAAACTAAATTAACTGATATTCTGGAATTCTTAAGCAATAATTTTAATATAAATTGTTTCTCATCCCTACTAGGCTAATCCAGTGAATAATGAAAATAATGGCTTAAAAGTTTTCCCTGGAGGGGCAAACAAAGGAATTGATGGAGGTGATTTTATCATGCATCTAGAAGCAACAGATATAATTTCATGGGACATTTATCATTTCAAATTGCAGCGCTTATTATAAAACTTTGTAAAAATATCACTATGAAATTATTGCAGTGTATAAGGTAGCAGAAAAATTCAATGAAGAACCTTATAAATTTGTCTAAATTGAAACTATAGCATGCATCCCAAAAGTCTTAGTGTAATTTTAAACTTTTAATAATTTCAGAACTATAAATGCTACAAATATTAAAGACATCATTTGATAGTTCATATAAAGTTCTCATATTAATTAGTATGAATTTTGAATAATAAATTTTTCATTTTAATTTAACAAGGTAGGGAACTTTGCCATTATGCATTGCATGTCAACAATTTCTGAATGATGCTTTCTCAGACAAATGAATCTGTAGGGGAAGTTCTTTTGCTTGGCTATCTTAGTCATCTGCTCTATCTTCATTAGACTTTTTCTTGTAGAATCATGACAAAACTGTCATATACACATCACAACTTCATTCTCTGGAGGATTTTTCCCCCCTTTTTAGGCAATTGGGGTTAAGTGACTTGTCCAGGGTCACACAGCTATTACGTGTCAAGTGTTTGGTCTGAGGCTGGATTTGAATTCAGGTCCTTCTGACTTCAGGGCCGGTGCTCTATCCACTGCACCACCTAGCTGCCCCCTGGATGATTTTTAGGTAAGAATTACAAATGTATTCTCTTCAGTCACTGAGCAGCAGATGCTGAGAGTTTTTACAAAATTAAAAAATAAACTAGAGCAATGTATAGCACAAGATTATAATTATGTTGAATTTTAATAAGAAACCTATTAATATTTTAAAAAGACTTTGAAAACATTTTAAAGTTTGTTGCATTTATACTTCTGAAGTTATTAAGGCTTAAAACTGTATTAAGACTTTTGGGACAGTGTGTGTGTGTGTGTGTGTATACACACTTTCATAACTCTGATTTCAGCATGAAATGGTTTGTCCTGGGAGGTGGTATCATTGGTGATCTTAAGGTAGAGGTTGGACTACTTTTTGGGTATGTTATAGAGGAGAGTTGAATGATATCTGAGATCTTTTTCTAACCATCAAAATCTATGATTCTGTGGGTATGGGGAGGATAAAAAGAATGTTAGAAAATATAGTTCAGGAGTCAGAAAGGAGAGGCAAAAGGCTTGCAGACTGTACAGAAGGCTTTCAGCTCTACACCATAAGAATAGCTGGGAGGTGCTTGACTTGGGCAAATGCCACATCATATCCAAAGATGAAGGTTTTGTCTTTGTCTTTTTTGGGGGGACTAATTACTGATGTGGAAATGACTAATTACCGATATGGAAATACATTCCACAGTTGCCTCTGTAAGGTCATACCACCAACAAGTTAAGAACAAAAATTAAATTTATAACACTAGAAGAATAAAAATGACAAAGTTATTGCCTACAATTAAAAGCAAC